AATTAATTAATTAGCAAGAGCATAAAAAAAGTATATTCTTGAAATGAATATCATTTCAAACATTCATACAAAATACCATTTACAAAATATTATTTGACACCAATAAAACCAATTTTAATTTAATTTTATTTTTTAGAAGATAGTTTTTGTAATAACACATGAAACTATTTTTTTTTAGGGGCACTAGTGAGTATTAAATATTTTAATTTGAAACAGTGCCACTAAAAAAAAATAGTTCTATTTTGTAATTACAAAAATGACGTTCTGTATAACACTATAAACACAATGCTAAAATTTAAATTAATGAACTAATAAAACACAAAAAAATTTTTTTTTTTCTAATTTTACACTGCTTTTAAAATTTTAGATTTTTAGAATGTATTGTTAGCTAAATATTCTGCTAGATTTTATAAATGCTTTATAATATATTTTCTAAATATAACAAATAAATAGATTTTTCTTTTTCCATATTAATATTGCATTTTTTTTTTATTTTTATTCAATATTTTCTTATTTTTTATTTGTAGTAATTTTTTTAATTAAAAATATCCCATTAAAATTTAACAGGTATTTTTTTTTTTTTACAAATTAACCAATATAATTATAATTTTTTTTTATTTTTACTTTGTAAAATTATTTTTATTTTTCTAAATAATTTTATTGCAAATATTATTATTAATATAAATTACAGCATACAATCATTTTAACGAAATTGAATTATATTAAAGCATATGAAAAAAAAAAAACAAAACTATTAAAACAAAATGGCTTCCGAAAAAATTCAAGAACTTAAAAACAATAATAATAAACACAAGCAAGATATTAAAGAAAAAATTATATATATATATATATATATATATATATAGCACAGATGCTTTTATTTTCTCTATTGAAAATTATATTTCTTATTTGAACACTCAAATTTAAATATTTAAATATCAATATGAAGAATAAAAACTGAAAAATGAACAAGAAAAAAAAATACAGAATGAAACACATCAAAAAATATATGTATGTATATATCTATATGTATATATCATGAAATATTAAATTGAAATACAAAATATATTATAAAATATCAAATAATAATTTTACAGCTGAAAATTAACAATTTCAAATAGATTATAAAAATTAATTTGAAAAAAAAAAAAAAACTGAAACAAATCTCAATACAAAAATATTTTTAAATAAAAAAAAAAACAAACTTTTCTAATAATTAATATATATATATACTTATGTTTTAAAACAAAATAATATATATTAACAAAAAGAACAACTACAACTTTAACAAAAACATCAACAACAACTACAACAACAACATCAACAACAACAACATAATGGAACAAATTAATCAATAATATTCAATAAAAAAAAAAAAAAATACAGAGATATACAAAAAAATAATTGTGAATTCAATAAGAAAATGTTATTTTATTAAAATTTAATACGAATATATATATATATATATATATGTATATTTATTTCAAATATAAAAACAGTTAACAACAATATAACAACAACAACATCAACAATTATTACAATATATTTTTTGAAAACAACAGAAACAACAAAATTAACAAAAAAATAAAAAAAATTTTTTTTGAATGATAATATTAATATATTATTAACAAAATGATTAACGAATCAATGAAAAACAGAAACTAAAACGAAAATATAATTAAAAAAAAATTAATATATATATATATACATATATATATATATGAAAATTAAGACAGTATATAAGTACAAAGAATACAGAATGATGAGAGTATGGAAATTAAAGAAAAATCATTACAGAATGCAATTTATTTACTTTTTTTTTGTTATCTTCTCTGAAAAATTAACAATCAAACAAATAAATAATTAAAAAACAAAACTAACACAAATGAATTTATCAACAGCAATGAATTACGAGAAGATTTTAATACATTTTATATATATATATTTAATCATCACACATGGAAAAATACCTACATATATAATAATAATATTAATAAAACACCAATCACCAATCAATCAAAATTAACAATCAGTTCAAAATAAATTTCTACTTCTTCTATATATAATTATATATACTATTATTTTTAATTAAATGTTTTTTAATTAATTGTTGTAAACAAAAATATTTTTTAAAAACTAATTATTATTATTATTTTTTTTTTAAATTTTATTATTATTATTATTAAAAAGAAAAAAATTATTTATTTGAATTTCTAATTGTATATCTTATTAATTAATTATATTTACATTTATTATACAATTTTTTTTTTTTCTTCAAAATTTTTTCTACAAAATAATTCTAATTTTAATAATGTTTACACAAATTTCTTATACATTTATATCTAACATTCTTGTATTTTTATATATATATTATATTTCTTTAATTTAAATATTTTTCTAATATATTGATATATATGTATATATATAAGTACATAAAATACCTACATATATATATATATATATATATATATATATATATATTACACATACACATTTCCAAAAAAAAATTTTTTTTTCTGTTTCATTTTATTTTAGTTCAATTATTTTAATAAATATAATTAATAATTATATTTTTACATTGATTACAACAATTATTTTACATAAAGAATAACAAAAACAAAAAAAAAAAAAAATAAATTTTTTCAAGTAAATATTTGTTTTAAAACCGCAAATAGTCCTACATTATCAGCATATAATTAACAATTAAAAATTAAAAAAAACAAATTATTGAAAACGAAAAGTAAAGTAACATAATACAGAACAAAACAAAGTTAAAAATTTAAATTAAAATACAAAAAAAAAAAAAAAAAAAAATTATTTTTGATTTAATTTTTAAACAAAAACATCTCGCTTGTTTGTCTGTGTGCAGGGCTAACGATCTTGATGTTGGTGAAGATGGTGTTATTTGATGATGGTGATGATAATGATGATGGATCGGAGATATTATTCAATAATCAACAACTAAAAAATAAAAAAATATTAACTTTCTATAAGGAATTAAACTTCTCTTAACGTCTGAGCTTTAACTATAGTATTAAAAATATTCTGAGTGGGATAAATTTTATAATAAAACAAGAAAAAAAACTCTCAATTAATGAAAATCATTTTACTCAAAAAAAAAAACCGAAACAAAAAAAAGGAGAATAACAATTTATTTCTAATGGAATAATTATATTGAGAGAATACATGAAAATAAAAAGATATGAGAGCATTGATATGAGAAAGGAAAAAAAAAAATAAATAAAGAAATGCAACAGTAAGATGAGAAAACAAACAAAAGAATAATGCCATAATGAGAATAAAATATAATTGAGAATTACTCAATATGATATGATATGTGATTATTATTGTGAGAATTACTCAATTTTTACGCAATTAGAAAATGGAATATCATTGTGAAACTATGAGTATATAATATAGAAATATTAAATAAATGAATACAAAAAAAAAAAATATTCACAATTATTGTTATATATAGAAAAATTTACGATAACAAAATATTTTACTGATGATAATTATTTCTTATATAATATGATGAATTTTATTGTGCCAATTTTAATTCTAAAAAAAAATTCCATTGCAATGGTGAGTTTTTCCCCATATATTGTCCATCAATAAAAAGGATTTTACAATGCTAAATAAAATAATAAAACAAAAAAAAAAATACAAACAAACACATCCTTCTACAAAGTTAATATTAAGTAAAATTTATGGATTAAGAGGTAAGATAAAAATTTTTTTGTAATTATAAAATTTAATGTGAAAATAAAATAAGCAACAAAAAAACAAAAAATTGATAATAGTTTTTTTTTTGAATTATTTCAATTATTTTTTTTTTTTTTTCTTTCTTATTTAATTTATCTGCCCCCTTCACTGCACACTTACACTGCGTTTTTTTTTTTCTCAATATTTTATTTATTTTTTTTGTTTTTCATCGTTATTCAATTTTTATAATAAAATTTTTTTTTTTAGTTTTTAATTTAATGGTTGTTTAATATTAAAACCTTATCACGTTTTTTTTCTGGTTAATTTAAAAAAAAAAAACATATTTTTGCGCATGATATCGTAAATTATAATTTTTGATTATAAGGATGTTCAAAAAAAAATATACATATATATAATATACATTTATATATATATATATATATATATATATATATAGTTGTTTTAAAGAGAATCACTATATTATATAATCATTTCATTTGTTTTAATTTAATCAAATTTGAAAATGAAAATTTATATCGTAATTTTAAAAAAAAAAAAAAAAACATTTTTTTTTTGCACTTCTATTATTCAAGAATTGGAGGTTTTTTTTTTTTTAATAAAATTAAATGAATAAAAAATACGAATAAGGCAATTTAATTTTATAATATTTTGTTATTGTCTAGCTCTTTTCAAATGAAAAAATCATATATTTTTAAACAATAACTGTATATTTTGACGTTTACATAGAAATGACGTAAATCCAGATGCCAAAAGTTAATCAAAGAGATTTAAAATCATATTCAATTCAGAATTTTGTTTTTGATTGCTTCCTTCCTCTTTTCCCGCAATTAGTTTTTTAATAAGGCTTTGGAATTTTTAATTTTTAATTTATTCTTTTAATTTTCTTTGTTTCCCTATTACAATATTAATAATGCATAGTTTAAATTTTTAATTTTATATTAAGCGAATTTTTTTTTTTTTAATTTCAAATATAACTAGGCACAAAGAAGAGTAAAATTGATCATAAAAAAAAAAAAAAAAAATAATAAGAACACAAAATCAATCATTGGCTTTTTTTTTTTTTAAATAAAAATTTACAAAATATAAATTAAATTTAAATTTTTTTTTTTCGTATAATTAATGTAATACACATATATAAATATAAAATATAATTATGTATACATAATTTGGTTTCCTTGTTTTAATTATATTCAAAAAAAAAAACCAAAAACCAGAAACAAAAATATAAATTTTTAATATTCTACTTTCTTTCTTTTTAAAATATTTTCTTGCAGAAGCCAAAGTTATTGGAAATGGCAGATCACCTTTATTACAAGAACCTTTATTTGGAGCACGGCCACAAGCATACAGTAAGTTAATGTTTGTTATATTTGAATTGTAATAAATTAAATTAAATTATATAATTATTAAATTGATTTATAATATAAGTCAATAAATTATGTAAATGCTAAAGAATTCAAAATAAATATTTTTACTATTTTCGTAAATACTGCGTAAAATTCGTGAATTTGAATTTATGACAACAGCATACCAATTGTTTTACTACTTAATACTAGATGTTTTTTACAGTGAAACATACCAGATGTTTTACTATACCTGAAAAATAATTTAAAAAATTTTTAACTCACTATCATTTAAAAGATCGGTAGTTCAAAAAATTTTGTTACCCGTAAATTTGTCGAATTATATTTAGCGATGAGATTCATTTTTGAATGAATTTTGTTTCAACAGGAATATAGCATAAAATGCACTTCACTATCGCAGCATCGATTTATTGAAATCAATAAGCTGATTTCAAGAAATGGACTGTATGTTGTGCTCAGGCACGGTTCTGATTTGTTTGGCGGTTTTGCTACGCGGTTTTCAAAAAGTGCCCGCTCATGGAAATGACAAAATATACAATAAATATTGCATATTACGCATAATAATTATGACCCTGTATTTCGGCGCTCATTGCATATGCTTACTTTACATATATCGTAGATCTGGTACTGGTTGTGCTATTTTTAATTTAATCATTGCAAATAAGGATCAAAAAATATTATAGAATGAGGCGGTCCAAAAATGCACTCAGCCAAGAGGAATCACGACGACAATTCATTTAACAGTTTTCAATTCTCATAATCGAAAAATTCTACATTTGGCTTTAAGTCACACCCTATATAAATTATAATAAAATAAAATATATTAAATAGAAATAAATTTAAAATGTAGCACTGTCATAAAATTGTATAATAAAATTCCTCTTTCCAATCAAAATTTAATATTCATAATAGGAAATCCTTGGTACATCAACACACATTTGATTACAGTTCAAAATATTGTCAAGTACCTATATATTTTTTAAAAATAATTTCTTAGCTATTTTCAGATCTATATAAACGATATTATTTTATTTAATTCCATACATACTAAAATATTTATTTTATTTAATAAAATTTCTATTTTCAACTCTAAAAAGAATCTATTTCCAAAAAAATAGAAATTTTTTTTTTTGGTTTATTATGCTATAACTCGAAATTTAAGTATAAAAGTCTTTTATTTTTATTAACTTTGATTTGTGTATCATTGGAACTATATAAACACAAAAATATTATTTTATAAAAAGAATCACGCATGAAATATTTTATATACCCGTATAATAAATTAAGACCACATATAAATATTACTTGAAATAATTTCTATATTTTTTGTTAAATTAACACTTTCAAGGGCATAATATACTGTGTAAAGTACTAAAAATATTGTATTCAATTATATAGAACGTTGTATCAAGGATATTTGAGTATAGTTTAATCATAATTTACACGAAAATTATTATTTTAATAAATAGAGTTTTTGAGACACAAGACCGAATTATCTTTACTCTAATAATATTTTTACAATTTTTGTTTTTCTAGTTCCTTACACTTCCAGATATACTACGGTTATTAATTTAAGGCAAAAAAAACCCGGTTAGTTGACCTTATTATTAATTAATTTATTTCTAACTTATTTGACTGCTAATTTGTACACGATTTTTTTCCCCCAGTTAAATACGTACGTATTTGCTTGGGAAAATTCACACGGCTCTTTTGCTTTTTTTATGGTTTGTTAAAGCTATAATGAACTTAAATGGCCATATCTAAAAAATTTTTGTTTTTGATATTCGAAATTAATTTTTATAATAAATATTCTCTCTTTTAATGAGATTTTTCAAGAAAGAAAGTTTTCTATTATAGTTGCATAGAAATTTAATCACATTTCAAATTTAGATTACAAATTGCCTTTTGTCAGTATAAAATCACTGCAAAATACAAAGATCATTTATAATATTGAAATCTTTACAAAATTAAATTAATATTTTAATTCTCATGAACAAATAACTCTTGAATAAGTCAATTTATTTCATATTTTCGTACATTTTATAGAACCATATAGAATTAAATAATTTTATTAAAATCTCTTAATTGTATTCCATTCAAAATATACTTTACTTTTATTAAATAATTTTTATTCATTACAAAATAAAATATTTTCGAAAATCTAACATAATAATATGAACTTTCAATTACAGTATAATTATATATAATAAGTATACATATATGACATCTACATATTGATGCATAAATAAGTTTGTGTACACTTCAAAATTTTGAATTTCTAATATAATCATTCAATGAATAATGGTAAAATATAGCCTTGAAATATTAAATATAATATATAATTTATATAACTCTATGTGTATACATGTATAGATGCATACAATTTCTCCAAAGATATGAATTTTATATAGAGTATACATGTATAATTACAATTTATAACGTAAATACTTTTGAAGTATTAAAACTCGCAGAGTAATATGCAGAGTTATATAATGTGTATGCGTATATGTATATCAAGAAAATGTCATCGTTCCGTTTCATTAATGAATTCATTGACTTAAAAAGGTTTATTTTTTAGCATTATATTTTTTATTTCAAATTTCAATATCTATGCTATTTTCAACTTGACATTACCCACATAAATTGTATGTATGTATTTATATGTATGTATGTCTATAAGAATATTTTTTGCCTATTCAACTCAGGCAATTCAAATATAAAATTCACCAAAAAATGAATTTCCATATGTTAAAAACAAAAATAAAATTTATTAGATTTCTACATGCAAACACATAAAAAATAAACAAAAAAAAAAAAAAATTTGAATCAAGATTATTTTTTGAGAAACAAAAAGCAAAAAAAAAAAAAAACAAAATAATAAAAGAAAATTTATTGATTTGTGAGTGCCCATATGTGCCACAACCACCATATCTCTTTGTTTCTCTTCTCGTACATACACACCCATTTCTCTTCTCATATACAATAAATTTTTCATATTTTCTTCTCATTTATTATTCGTTCTGATTTTGATTTATAAATACGTAAAATATCTAATGTTCGCATAAAACGCATTTTATTTTTAAAAACTTATATAAAAATTGGAGTGGGGGGGGGGGGAGTTATATAAAATGTATTCAACTATCACGACAATAATATGTATGAATAAATAAAAATTGAGTACCATATATGAAGTTATGAAGAGTAAGTTGACATAAATCCAATGTTTTATTTTTACCGACCGCATTACATTCAGTAAGAGAAGTGTCATCGAATCACGAGTTTTTCGAATTTCGAGTCGAGTTTTTAGCGGATATACACTTCTCAGTGGTAGTAAAACAGAACTATACTATTTTTAGAGTTCTAGTCTGTTGGTCTGTTTCAATTTCAGATGAACCGATTTCCATGACACTTTATAATTGAGTTTATTTTGGTAATGTCACGATCTGATCAACTTTTGGAATATATTTGCAAACTGATTCTTTACTATGAACCGACTTTAAATATTTAGTAATATTTATGAAAATGTTCAACAGATTAATTTTATTTGTTGTAGAAATTGTTGAAATTTAATATTTGAGTACAGTTTGCTTGCTGAAAGCAATCAGAGAATCTTCAGAGAATTCGAATTTCATAAAGTAAAGCTTTACAAAAAATCAAATTCACAATTTTTCTATAGCTATCTTAACTAAAAGCTTATTAACATGATTAGAATTGGAAAAAATTGTTTAAAAGGCGTTTTCATAATGCAACATTTTCATTTAACTATAGACAATACACTTTTCGGTTGGTTATGTGCTGGATCACATTAGATTTTTGAAAAATGTCTTATAAATGTTAGTTAATTTAATATGAAATTGATTTGGTTGAGAGTTGGAGAAAAATATTAGATTAGGGAGGAAGGAATAAAAATTTGATTAGAGCATAAAAGTTCTTTTTTTCCGCTGCAAATAATATAAATGTTTTTATGAGGAATTTTATAAATTTTTAAAGTTATTATTATACTATTCTAAAATTTTACAGACACTTTTATTCAAAGGATATGCTTTATCTCTATTTGTAATTAAAACTATCAACCAAAATTTCTGAAATATACCGCATTTCTCTTTCACGATTATGTTAAATTTTGTGCTGTTGTATGTGCTAATTTCATCCAAGTTTTATTATATGAAATTTAAATTTGATTTTTGTTTTTTCGATAAATAATTCATAGATATTATTTTTTCAAAATTTTATTTTTAATACATAGATATTATATGCAGAAGGTTACCACAAAATTTAATCAAATAATTAATATATAATTAGAACCACTTAATTTTTGTTGAATTGAAATAAAACAGAAGCAGTCATATAAGTAAATCTCTTAGATACTTCCTTGACTTTTTTAGAATTTTATCAGAAATCAACATAATTGAAAAATAACATTTAAAATAATAAAAAATTTAAATGATTTTTAAATGTTAAAAAAAAATTCATTCAAAAATTTAAGGTATAAACACTTTCAACTTACTACATATATTCTTACTTATATACCAGTAATAATTGAAAATCATACTTATGTGTATCTGAAAAATTTCTTAAACATACATTCAAATCAGATTTCTGAATAATATTATAAAATATTTAAAAAAAAAAATTTTTCATTTTATTTCATATATTCCATAATATAAACTTGAACATTATATTGTAAGTATAATTTTGAATCATTTTGAAACAATAATGTCATAGATCTGTATTATTTGTTTAAAATTAGGTCAAAATATTTATTATAATTCTCTTCCGTCTCAAAATCATATTTGAAAAGTTTTTGTGATGAAAACTTATTGAAAAGTTTTGAAAAAAAAAAAAGAAAACTAAAAAATATCAAAAATAAAAAAATTAAAATTGAATTTAACATTTCTATTGAAAACAGTCTAAACCAATGTTAAAGAAAACAAGTAACGAGTAAAAAAGGGGACATCATTAAAAGCAAATTTTTGATAATTTCT